CCTCCTCTGCACGGTCTTGCTATCTCTCATCCGGGGGATGTAGAACACGAGAAATGTCTGTGGAGTGAGTGATATCTATCCATTCCTCACTTTCTTCTCCACTCTCATAGACACCTCAAAAAGTGATTGAACTGGAGATGATATCTTCAATGTTTTTTCTCTATTCTTTTATCTTCATGTGTTCTCTTTCTCTATCTATGATAGAAACTAACACTCCCATGGGGCTGGTGTGTGCTGCAACATCACCATCTCAAACGCCTCCTCATCTACCACAACTTCAACCACCACCACCGCTACAACTACAACCTCCATCACAATCACAAGCACCACCGCAATCTCAACCGTCGTCGCAAATTCAATTACAACTTCAACCACAATCTTCAATTCAACCTCCATCCCAACCTCAGTTACAAGCAACACTACAAGCTCCATTACAACCACCTCCAATACCAACTCCAAGTCAACAACCACCACATCCAGGATATCAAACAATGATACAACAACTTCAACAACCTCGTCCCAATAGAGTTACTCCAGTTCAAAAGCCAATTGGATTAGATCCTGTTGAAATAATAAAAGAAACAGAGAACAAAATTGCCCAAAGAATTGCTCATAGAATAGAGGAATTACAAAATATTTCAGCAAATTTACCAGAAGATTTAAAAGTTAAAGCAATGACTGAATTACGAGCTCTTCGTTTAGTCAATTTTCAACGTCAACTTAGACGTGAAGTGGTCGCTCATATGAGAAAAGATACTTCATTGGAAACTGGTCTTAATCCAAAGTTATATAAGAGAAGTAAAAAGATTGGACTACGAGATGCAAGGATTACAGAGAAATTGGAGAAACAAAAAAGACAAGAACAAGAAAATAAAAGAATTGAGAAACATCAAGAATATTTACGAGGAGTTTTACAACATGTAAAAGATTTTAAAGAATATCATCGAAATATTCGTGGTAAAGTGGCAAAAGTTAATAAAGCTGTTGCAACTTATCATGCAAATACTGAGAGAGAACAAAAGAAGGAACAAGAAAGAATTGAGAAAGAACGTATGAGAAGATTGATGGCTGAAGATGAAGAAGGTTATCGTAAACTTATTGATCAAAAGAAGGACAGAAGGTTGGCATTCTTGTTGTCACAAACTGATGAATATATTAAAAATCTTACTGAAATGGTTAAACAACATAAAGTTGATCAACGTAAAAAATTAAAGGATAAAAAGAAGAAGAAGAAAAAGAAGATTAAGAAAGAAAATAAAGAAGGTGTTAAAGGAGAAGATGGAGAAGGTAAAGGTGATACAACAATGGATGGAACTATTGATGAAAGTTCACAACAATCAGATGTGCGTATAAATGTTATGGAAACATCAACCGGTAAAGTTTTGGTTGGAAAAGAAGCTCCACTTGCCAGTCAATTGGAGACTTGGCTTGAGATGCATCCTGGTTATGAAGTTGCTCCTAGAGAAACAGATGATGAAGATGAAGATGATGATGGTGATGATTCATCTGAAGATGATGAAGATTCTAAGCAACAACAGCAACAAATACAACAACAACAATCTCAACCAGATCCAGTAATGAATGCAGCTAACAAAAATGTTATCCAAGCAGCATCCCAAGAAGATGATGAATATAAAAGTGGGGGTTATCAAAACTATTATAATATTGCTCATGCAATTAGTGAAGAAGTTACAGAGCAAGCATCAATTATGGTTCATGGTAAACTGAAAGAATATCAAATTAAAGGACTTGAATGGCTTGTATCTTTGTATAATAATAATTTGAATGGTATATTAGCTGATGAAATGGGTTTGGGTAAAACAATTCAAACAATTGCATTGATAACATATTTGATTGAAAGAAAGAAGAATAATGGTCCTTTCCTGATTATTGTGCCATTATCAACATTGTCAAATTGGATGTTGGAATTTGATCGTTGGGCACCAAGTGTTTCCAAAATACCTTATAAAGGTTCACCAAATGTTCGTCGTAGTTTACAGCAAAAATTGAAAACATCAAAGTTTAATGTTTTATTGACAACTTATGAATACATTATTAAAGACAAAGCATCTTTAGCAAAGATAAAGTGGAAATACATGATAATTGATGAAGGTCATCGAATGAAGAATCATCATTGTAAATTGACTCAAGTTTTAAACACTCATTATGCTGCACCACATCGACTTTTATTAACTGGAACTCCATTGCAAAACAAATTACCTGAATTATGGGCACTTTTAAATTTCTTGTTACCATCAATTTTCAAGTGTTGTAATACTTTTGAACAATGGTTTAATGCTCCATTTGCTACAACTGGAGAAAAAGTGGAACTAAATGAAGAAGAGACAGTTTTGATTATTCGTCGTTTACATAAAGTACTTCGTCCATTCTTGTTGCGTCGATTAAAGAGAGAAGTAGAATCTCAATTACCTGATAAAGTTGAATATGTGGTTAAATGTGATATGTCAGCTTTACAACGAGTCGTTTATCGACATATGCAAACAAAAGGAATTGTTTTAACGGATGGTTCAGAGAAAGATAAACGTGGTAAAGGAGGAGCACAAACATTGATGAATTCAATTATGCAATTACGTAAAATTTGTAATCATCCATTTATGTTCCAACATATCGAAGAAGCAATAGCTGATCATACTAGTATCAGTGGTGGTATTGTTTCTGGACCTGACTTGTATAGATCTAGTGGTAAATTTGAACTTTTAGATCGTATACTTCCAAAATTGAAACAAACTGGACATCGAGTATTACTTTTCTGTCAAATGACAACATTAATGACTATAATGGAAGATTATTTCAATTATCGTAATTTTACTTACCTTCGTTTGGATGGTACAACAAAAGCTGAAGATCGTGGAGAACTTTTGGCTCAATTTAATGCTGAAAATTCTGAATATTTTATCTTTATGTTATCAACTCGAGCTGGTGGATTAGGTTTAAATTTACAAGCAGCAGATACAGTTATAATCTTTGATTCTGATTGGAATCCTCATCAAGATTTACAAGCCCAAGATCGAGCTCATCGTATTGGTCAAAAGAATGAAGTTCGTGTATTGCGTCTTGTAAGTGTAAATTCAGTAGAAGAGCGTATCTTAGCAGCAGCTAAATACAAATTAAATCTTGATGAGAAAGTCATTCAAGCTGGTATGTTTGATCAAAAATCAACTGGAACTGAACGACGTCAATTTTTACAAGCAATTTTACAAACTGAAGAAGTTGATGAAGATGAAGATGAAAATGAAGTTCCCGATGATGAAACTATTAACCAGATGATTGCTCGTAGCGAGGATGAATTTGAACTGTTCCAACAAATGGATATTGATAGGAGAAGAGCTGAAGCAAGAGATCCTCGAAGAAAGCCACGTTTAATGGAAGAAAATGAATTACCTAGTTGGTTATTAAAAGATGACGCTGAAGTTGAAAGATTAACTCAGGAAGAAGAAGAAGAAGATAAATTTGGACGAGGTTCCCGACAAAGAAAAGAAGTCGATTATAGTGATGCTTTAACTGAAAGACAATTCTTAAAAGCAATTGAAGATGGTAATTTAGATGAACTTGAAACACCGACTAAACGTGGTAAAAAGAATGGTCCTGGTAGAAAAAGGAAACGTGATGAATCACCTTCAACACCAGGAGCTTCAACACCTAGACCAGGAAAGAAAGGGCGACGTCCAGGTCCAGTACCACGTGATAAAACTCCAATAGCACCAGAATTAATGAAGAAAATGAAAAAATTGATGAAGATAGTTATCGATTACAAAGATGGTGATGACAGAGTTTTATCAGATCCATTCTTGAAACTTCCATCTCGTCGTGAATTACCTGATTACTATGAAGTAATAAAAAAGCCAGTTGATATTTTCAAGATTCGTCAAAAAATTCGTGATAATAAGTATCGATCACTTGATGATTTGGAGAGTGATTTCATGTTACTTTGTAAAAATGCACAAGCTTATAATGTGGAAGGGTCAACCATTTTTGAAGACTCAATTGTACTACAATCAGTTTTTACAAGTGCAAGAGAAAGAATTGAAAAAGATGGTGATATTTCTGTCGAAGATCCGAATGATAGCGAAGAAGAAGAAGAAGAGGTAAGTTAATTTATTATTATTTATCACCTTAATTTATAAACTAACACAACAACCCATGGATCAATTATAAAAACCATAACACTCTAAATTTTGTTCATTTTATTTATTTCTTTATTTGCATGATCATTTTACTATCACTTCACAATCAATCAACTGTAAAAGAAACCTGCATGTTACCCATGATAATCAATCGATTTCAATAATTTCCACGCATCTACATTTAATTGTTAAAGTACTGTTGAGAATATCTTCAAATTAGTCATTTTTTTCATAAATTCTAGTTTACTGGTGAGTAAATGTTTGTTGAATGTCCACAAATTAAGTTTTGTAAACTAATACATAAGTTTATGAGTTATAAAAAAGTCAATTTATTATAAACAATTTTTGTACATTTTGTTTATTTTTCATTTGCATGATTAATTTTCAATCACTTCACAATGAAACAACTATAAAAGAAACCTGCATGTGACCCATGATAATAATCAATCTAAAGCAACACAAAGCTGCGAGAAAAATAAGATAATTTATTGTTGAATACTTTTTAGGTTGAAGAAGAAGAAGATGGAGATGATGATCCCGATGACGATTCCTCTGTTAAGATGAAGATCAAATTAAAAGGAAGAAAACCTCGTCAAGCTCGTCAAAAGAAAAAATATGTCAGCGATAACGATGATTCCGATGATACAGATTAACTAAATGAAACAAAAACAACTTTCGATTGCTTCTAGCAAACGAAAAGAAGTAGATTGATGAACTTGAAACACACTTGAAAAGAGGTTAAAAGAATGGTCCTGGTAGGAAGAGGAAACGTGTTGAACTTAAATCACCTTCAACATCAGGAACACCATCAACACCTAGACCAGGAAACTGTAATTATTTAATAAAATCTATTCTTCCAACCTCCAAATTGTAAACAGTCGATGTAATTGTTGATCATCCATTGGATAGCCATTGCCATGATCAAGAATCTAATAAAGTAAATAAAATATATATTGATTAAAGAATTGTAAAACAAAAATTTAAACTCTAAATGTCTATTTACCTCAACAAGAAATTTAATATATCGACAAGCTAATTTCAGGGTGGCAATTTTACTCAATTTATCCGATGGTAAAGTTGGAATTATCTGGCGAAGTGTATTGAATCCTTCATTCAAAGATTGAGTCCTTTTTCGTTCACGAACATTAGCCAATATCCTTTGAACATGTAACTTTTTGTGTCCATGTCCATGTCCATGACCATGGCTATGACTATGACTATGATTATGATTATGGTTATGATTGTAGTGATGAGCGTGGTTACCATTACAAACTTTCATGATTAATTTAAAATACAAAATCAACTAAAAATGAATGAAATATTAAGAGACACACAATTAAATTACACTGATATAAAATAGTTGAATAGATTGTCTTGAAAACAAAAACAGAGGCTTCAGTCTCATCAGCACAAACAAAAGGTTAAAAACGATGAAGATGGTCAAAGGCAAAAAATGTCAAACACCAAAATGAAAGCACAAAAACGACAGAGACTTCTCCAGAGAGTCGAGAGGAAGATGATGATGGCGATGGCGATGAGGATGATAAGAATGTGAATGATGAATAGAGAAAAGAAGAGGAAGTTTAAAAACAAAGAAGTAGTGGGAGTCATTTTACATTTTTCACGATAATCATTTAGACCAAAGACAAAATTTTTACGACCTCTGATCCGTTTAAGGCTATTTTAGGCAATTCCTCTTTCTTTGGACTCTTTCATCTTCATTTTCGCCTTTTCTTAATCTTGTCTTCTTCTCTTTTCTTGTCATCCTCATCTCCATCATCTTTCCTAGCCTCTGATTCGCCCTTGTCTGAGGCCAACGGCAAATATAAAGGCAAGATTTGCGTGTTTTGTTCAAAAGGCTTTATTTTCCAATTCATGTTCAACTCTAATCTTATTTCAATTTCACACCAATTCATGAGATTACAATTAACTATTTAATTCGATGTGTGTGCGTATGTTTGACCGACTAGACAGAAACCGTAAATTGAATATGATTATTTTGTAAGTCAATCAGTGTTGGGTTTTTTTGCTGCTGGAATTGATCGATCCATTTGAAATTAGCTCCATGTTTTGTTTCATTGATTGCTGAAATTTAATGGGAAATGAAAACAAAGATTAGTTTAATCAACAATAAAACAAGGTTAACAAATGATTGAGAAGAAAAGTAGTAAAATGACAATAATTAAGTGGATAAGTTTAAATGAAAATACTGAAGCAACGTTAGTTGTTTGAAATTGAATACCATTCTACCAACCTAGAATGTAATCATTAAGAAGTTGGTAAATTGAACCAAATTAATATTAGTTGAAGTAAAAAAGGAGAAGCAATGAATTAAATTACTACGGTTACCCTGGAATCATGAATAAATGAAGATGGAGGTGGAAAGGTGATGAGGATCAAGATAAGAATGATAAGATGGATTTAATAAGTTCAACAAATTTGGTAGTAAAATGATGGAAAATAGCATCACTTTCTCTTCTTCTTCTTGTAATATCAATTTGATTTTTCATCATATCTTCAAGATAATGAACGAAAGAGAAAGTAATGATGATGAAGGACTCAATTTCATCTTTTTTATCATCATCATTTATATCAGTATTAAAAATGTTGGATGATCATTTTGATTTGTTTGGAGGCAAAGAAGTCAAAATTAGGTTAACATAAAATGAAAGTTTTGATTTAACAAAATTATAATATTAATTGAGGTTATAGATATGATGATGATGATGATGATGAAAACGATAATGATTGTGATGAAGCTGAGAAAGAAGAGAAATTGTGTTTTGCTGCAATTTGGCTTCTTCATAAATATACTTTTAACTATTGAAAAATCGCAGATAAAACCAAAGCATTTTTTATTGTTATTATTAAAAATCATTTGAAGGAATCAAGACTAATTCGTGGATCAGATTAAATAGAGACAAGTTGGAATGTTGGATGCTGAGATGATGATAATGATGATTATGTTGATCGGAGCAAAAAGATGATCGTAAAAGATCGCCGGAAGATTGATCAGCCTCTTTCTTCTTCTGATCTAGATTATCGTTTAATATTAGTGTTATTCTTTATGTTATCATTATTATTATTATTATTACTGTTTGATTCCTGCCTCTTGAATTGCCTAAAGCAATAATATTATCGTAGCTTTTTTGTAATTAAAAACACATTTCCTTATTGTAACAAATCAACCGGACTTGCTTTCTCTTTCATCATCATCAACATCACCATCAGCATCATCACCATCAGCATCAGCAACATTTTTGCTTCAACTTACTGCTTTGAATATGTTGGTGGTGGTTCCTTGGTCCATCTTTAAAATAGTTAATTGGTCAAAAAATGAGGTGAGAGGTGGAGAAAAAATGAGAAAATTTTCTTCATGTTCCTTTAGCTGTACTTCCTGCTATAATATATACACTAGCAGGTAACTTTCACATTTTTAGATGATATATAAAAGGGAATCACAATTTGATTCCTAACTTCATTCACTTTATTAAAGTTTAACCATCAACATCATTTGTTTATTGATAAAAGGTAAATTTCACTTTTCTGTTTAAGTAAATACAATTTTATATAAGATTTTGCTATCCCACACTATAACCATGTTTTCCTAATAACACACACTTTGTGTTATCCAATCAGCTTTATTGAAAAGAAACGGATTACTTCAGTGCTACCTTTTGACTCATTTGAATCCCTTTTGTTTCCATTTGTTTATCGTTTGCTTATTTTTTTCTCTCTCTCTTCTTTCTTTTTTCTCAAGGAATAACGGATTAATTAAACCATCATCTTAAATCAAAACTATGTCCTTAACCAGTCGTCGAACGGGCTTATCGCTCGCTTTCTTAGTTTTAGTTGTTCTCCAATTGGTTCTTGTTAACTACTATGTTACACAAGTCGAAGGAAGTCGACGAAAACTCCTTAAGATCAAGAAACTCGCTGCTTTGGCTCTTCTCTTGAAGCATTCCAAGAAAAAGAAGTTCGGAATCTTACCTGTTCCAATCCCAATTCCGTAAGTACCAATCAATTTAAATTAAAACTAAACTTTACTTTCTAACTAACAAAATATTAACTGAAAATCTAATCCTTTGATCCTTCTCCTTTTTCCTTTGCTACCGCTGCCGCTACTTAAATTGTCGCAAATCAACAGTCTTCCTCTTGAATTGGAAGCCAAATCCTGGCCAAAACAATCATGGCCCGCTCCTTCATGGCCTGCACCATCATGGCCAACTGTTTCATCTTGGGAACCATCATGGGGAGGAGGTGATAACTGGGGATCCGCTTCTTCATACTCATCTGGTGCCTCATATGGAGCTGGAGCTTCATCTTATGGTGGTGGTGATGATTACTCAGCTGCTGCTGGTAGTTATGGTGGATCATCAGGATGGTAAACCAATCACTTTCATCTAAACTAAACATCAACATTCCATTACTGCAACAACGCGACCACAAAATTCATCAGCATAACAGACACAAAAGCACCATCACCAAACCCTCGATGATGACTGTTTTTCATTTTCCTCTCTTCAGCGCCTCTTTCTCTCTTTCCTCATCAATTGTACAATAATTGTCCTGTTCACCTGATTGTAAAAAAAGTTAAATAACTAGACTTGTTTCCACAAAATTAATCAATTGTCAAGGTTAGACATTGAAAGTTTAGATGATCAAGATGTCAAATCTTTCCCTCATTTTGCTAGATCAACTTAACCTTGCTGGAATCCAATTGATTATTGAAACAGTCTAATCTATTTAGATTTTTAATTTGTCCTTTGTCACCCACCTTTGTGTTTTCATCTTCTCTCTTCTAGCCTCTCTCGTATCATCATCATCAGCATCTTTTTTGCCATAACTTTTTTATCATGTTATTATTTCATTAATAATATATTTACAAATCTAAAACATAAAACATTGTTCTTTTTTCATTACCTTTAAATATTAACCATTCTGGTTGCTAATGATAGTTATTAATATTACCATCATTAATTTTTCCCGCTTATCCATACAGTATTCTGGTTTTATTATCAAAAAATAGTTCAAGACAAAAAAAAGGTGAAAATGATTAGGAAAAGCTAAACTGGTTTTGAAGACCAAAGAAGGGCAACGTTAATTTAAATCACAATTTAAGATGCAGCAATAAGTAGTAATCAACTTTCAACCTAAATATGAAAATAGAAGTTGAAGCAAAAAAAAATTGATCACTGGAAAAGAAAAGTGAATTGATTATTTTTACCTGTTTTTTTTATTATTAAAGACTTTATTTAAAGATTATATTAAAGTGAAAGTGGATTTAATTCATTGCTATCTTTTACCGTAAATCAAGTAAAAATACTAATATTAAGACTAATAATATAATAAAATAAAAACTAAAAGCAGATATTCATTTGGGTTTTGATAAAAATAAACAATCAACTGCATTATGTATATTTTAATGAACCTCAAGTGAAAACATTGAAAGAAATCAAATCAATCCAAATTTATAAATAACATGTAACCCTTCAAACTTGGTAATTTTATTAATTTACTGATTAAATTAATTGTTTAACCATTTAACATACAAACAGAACCATTAACTGATGTATACTTTCATTGAAAACATTAAACTCAAAACAGAGACGATTCAAAATTATCAATGGATATGGTTGATGATTCCGTTTCTTTATCCAACAATTACATCTCATTTCTCAACCCAATGGTGAAGTTACTCATGATTGTCATCCTCCTCATCTTCATCTTCCTCTTCTTAATAACTCGTCCGTAACACAGGTTTATGTACTTGGTGGCCTTATAAAGCGTAGACTGTCATTGAGGTTAGACCATTTTGTGGCGTGACTGTTTTTGTAAGTTACAAAGGGAATCAACTTTTCCTTGACTTTACCATCTCTTAACACGTCTCACCTAAATAATTGCTTTCCCTATCATTATTTAAATTACCTTTGATCACAATCAAGGTTAACTAGTCCTAAATAAAGATGAAAATTTGGTTTAAACAATGATATGAAGCAAATCAAAATTAGTTTATATTTACGTGTTATCTTTGACTAATATAGCTTTTCTGGTCACAAGAAAATTAAAAATGATTGTTGACTTATTTACATCAATATTTTGAATATGAATTGAACAGTATATTAACAATACAATGTAAAAGCTGAATCCTTTTAAACATTGATCCGTTTTAGTGTTGATCAAACTTTCGCTAAGCTTTCATTGGAACTGATGATTGCTATTTCATTTGAAGTGCTCATTGTATTTATAAAACAATTGGTTCCACCTTTCACTTTAAATGCGCTGAAAAGCATTCAATTTAAATTGAAATCAAACTTCAATAGATTTAGACATTAACCAGAAAAAGAGGTTCAATTCTTGAAAATTTTCATTGATTTCACTTTTGTTTTTTCCTTTGAAAAGGTCAAGTCGGCTCATCTGTTTCATTAGCAAACAATTGGATTAAAATTAACACGGATAAGCCATTCTTATAGTCGGAGGTTCATTGGAGAGATAATCAGTTAATCCTTTAAACTTCAAAGATTTCCGACTAAAACTGAAGAAGACCGACCTTTTGTTCATCATATGGTAACTTATTGACTTCAAAGATTGGTTTAAACGGCAATTCATGCAGCGAAAAATTAGCTCAGCATTTAACTCGGACTAAACAAGTTGAATTATCACAACTTTTTAATAGGAACCATTTTGTTCCCATTTGTGTTGATTTTAGTTTTATATTTTTGAGACGCTTTCCTTCAATTATTAATGATTGAAAGAGAAATGAAATTGCTCCAATTTAGGTTGTTCAACTTAAAAGTTAATTTTAATTACATTTACATATTTTGTCATATTTAAAATATTGATTTTTGTACAATTAAATTTCATCCTTTCAAAGTGTGGCGTCTTCTCAAATATGGTTTACTGCTGATCCAAAGGATGTTCATTAGATTAAACGTAAAGACAGGAAGAAATTTGATGTTGTCAGATGAAACATTGAATTGGAAGATCAAAATTAAATTGTTAAAGATTACTGCTGATAGAGATTGCAGTGATTATCTGACGGACGTAAGTCGATTTAATATCAACAGATCTTGATCAATCTTGTCATTATTTTGATGAATGAAATGAATAACAGAAACGCATGTTAAAGGATAAAACCTGTTGGCTGCTCTTAAAATGACGATGATGGCTGTAATAATGTAGATAATAATGATGATTGATGCAAGTTGGTTGAAGTAAATGATAACCATAAAAGTTGAACAACAAAAATCAAGAAGACTTAATAACATATTTCTCCGTCTTTCGGCCTTTTCCATCTTGATAAGGGTTGAGTTGTCATTATTGTTGTCTTTAACAATTAAAATGTGGACCAAATGTGATTCATTGATTATGTTGATGCTTTTTATGATGCAGTTGTTGGAGAGGTGCATGATGATGACTTTGGACACGCAACAATCAAAAGATTTACAAGACACACGTATTGAGGATCAAGGGTAAGAATAAAAAATTATACAAAATTTCTTTATACAGTTGCACCGAGATTGGGCAAAAATTTAGTTACTCAGTAATTTGATTGACACATGATCAATATGATCATTTAAACCATTTTCATAAAAATTAGTCATATCAAAAATCTGCAATGACTATAATTGCATTGCACTAATTGTGAACCAAATAACCAAGTTAAGTAAAAAGTGAACATGTTGCATAGCGATTTGATTAACACAGCCTTATTTAGTAGGGGTTGTAATAAAAATATGGCACATTATTTTAAGATTTTACACTTGGAAGTGCGAAAAAGCGTTTCCTTCTTGATCTTCTTGATACTTAGGCATTCACAAGAACACGAAACCAAGGTTGATGAAGATCTACATGATTTTGAAACGTTCATTTGTTGAGTTGCTACGTCTGTGGCTAGTATTAAAGGATGGATTGTCATTGTTATTACTAGAAGCACTTGTGTTTGAATTGTTATTGATGAACCTGTTACCGCAGGCAGGTTTGGCTGTAATTTGCTGCTAATAAGCTATGCATTTCATGTAAAACCACCAAATCAATGTCCAAATGTTAATTTTCGTATGAAATGTTGGTACTGAATTTAGTATTTTTGTCAAAATATTTACAAATATTCATTTATAAAAATCATACAGTTGTTTCGTTGCGTCGTTGATTAAGAGGTTGCAATTCACGTGCTGAGCTATCATAATAATTGTCATTATAATATTCATGATCGTCCGAATTTTCCTCGTCACTAGAATGTAATTTACGACTGACTATGTGAATAACTTGAGGACCGGTCAAAGAAGATTGCGGTCCAGGTGTTGGTGGTGGTCCCATTTGACATGGGCCATTAGATGGTGAACTATTAGGCCTTCCTGGACCTGAACTAGGCACAATACCACCGCATATTGTTCCACCGCTTATTGTTGTTGGAGTGGGTGGTGGTGGTCCTATTATGGCTTGACCATTAGAAGGTCCATTGCTATTTGAGTTGAGTGGCACTCCTGGTAGACAATTGTTACCTATGTAACATGGCCTAGTGTTAATATAGTCATTCGGTACTTCGAAACTCATTCGGTAATATTCTAGATTATCGACCCCGAATCTTCCATGACCATCAACTGGTACAAAATCAGGTACATTACAAAACTGTTCGAGATCTTTGGCTTTAAGTGTTCCCATTTCTAATAGTAAAAAAAATGTTGACAATTAATTTTGGATCAAGACAAAGGGAATGTGAATCAATTTTTATTGAATCATGATTCAATAATAGTGAAACTTTGGCAGAAACATTACCTGAAAGTTTAGCATCACCTATTAAGTCTACATAATTTTGAGAGTTGCGAAGACCTGGTGAAGGCATTAAATAATCTTCTTCGTCAACTGGAAGGCTCATTGGAATATCACAACCTTTAGAGAAGTTGCTTCCATCAGCCATAAAGTTATCAATACTTTCAAATTCTAAAAAAATAGATACAAGAAATTTATATTAGTAAAATGTAACAGATTTTTATATGGATTTGAAAAAAATTAAATTAAGTAAAATAATTACCTTTGGAATGCATTTTTACAGGTTCTGCTGAGAATCGACTAGATATAAGGCTGCTGTCCCTGCGATGCATAGTTGAAGTTAAGGGATATAAAGTTGAACCATTTCCATTTTCCAGGCCACTATTGCCACAATCAAGACCAGCATATTTGCTTCTTAATTCAGCGTTACTTCGAAGAGTTCCACCGTTAAACATAATTGAGCTTGCTCGTGTTTTACATGAATCAACAGTGTCATCTAAGAAGCTGGCAGTTGTTATATTTGTCACACCACCAATGGACCCAGTATGAGCATGATGATGATGTGGGTAATTATTTGAATATATTGAGTGATGATTGCCCACAACTGACTGGGCGGAAGGCATCATCATCCCAAGAGGATCCCCTTCAAACCCTCGATCTTCCATGAATTTCTTAATAGGTGTAGGTGGTGGAGGTGTCTCACTGTTACCCTCGTGTTCTGATCGACTTGGTTGCAAGTATTCTTCAGCATCCATTATAACTTCAGGTCCTTCGATTGCTTTGGACAAATTTATTATCAGTTCTTTCTCATCTTGTTGAGTGTAGCTTGGAAGTCTCATAAACTTGTCTCCTGGAATGACGAGATATCTTCCAGGATCACCAGCCATTTTGGCAAACACCATAGCCAAGTCTCTAAAGGATGGACGAGACTCTGCATCCAGCATCCAACACTTAATCATGATCATGTAAACATCTATTGTACAAATTGCGGGCTGTGGAAGTCGCTCACCTTTATCTAAAAGGGATGGAACTTCACGAGCATTTACACCTTCATATGGACGTCCGCCATATGTTAAAAGTTCCCAAACAGTAATACCAAAAGCCCAAACATCACTTTTATGAGTAAATATTCGATGGTGGATACATTCAAGAGCTAACCATTTAATAGGCATTTTGCCTCCTTCAGCGATATATTCGTCTTCATTAATATCTAATAGTTTTGCTAAACCAAAATCTGTAATTTTTACACATCCTGGAGTTTGAAGAAGAACGTTTCTCAAAGCCAAATCACGGTGAACCATTCGTTTATCCTCAAGATAAGCCATTCCTCTAGCAATTTGAGTGCACCAATTTAATAAAGGTTTTGAGCCAATTTTATCTTTGTGTGTTTTCACATAATCTAAAAGACATCCTAAAGGCATAAGTTGGGTAACCAACATGAGTTGTGAAGTCATACAAACAGCTAAAAGCTTAAGTAAATTAGGATGATCGACTGATGCCATGATGTAAGCCTCTTCAAGAAACTCTTTGTTTGTATCTGGAGCAGTGCCTTCTTTCAAAATTTTGATTGCAACGGGAATTTTTACATTTTCCCCTTCAGGGACCCAAACTCCTTTGTGAACCATACCAAAAGCACCACAGCCAAGTACACCTCCTTTACGAAGCTCTGCCTCTTTTACAATGCGGAGTTTAGCCAAGTTTGGTCTAACATTAGTCAATTTAAGAGGCTCATTATCTTCGAACCCGGACATTCGCATCGTGAGTTGCATAGTCTTTTCCTTTGTTCGTGCTTTTTGAAGACCCTGGTAGCTGAAAAAGGCAAGGAAAAATCCAAGACATAAAACTGTGATTGCTATAACACCAACTATCATTGCTGTGTTGGAATCTTTAGGTGGAGGAATGAACGGTTTAGCTTCTTCTTCAGAACAATAAGGATCTTCGGCAACATTTACGGCGACAACTTTATATGGCTTATCAGCAGGACAAGTAGCAGTACAATTGAAACGCTTCTGATCATCACCCCAGTAGACACGATAGTTACGACAAGATAAACAATCTCCATTGGTTGGTCCGTGACAGCCTTGGCATTCATCGGCACACTTGTAGCACACATGATTAGCTGTATCAGCCCAGTGATCTCGTGGACAAGTATCTTCACATTGCTCAGCCGAAGAATATTGTAAACATTCGCAAACTGATTTATGAATACCATAAGCAGTACAGTTTCTACATCTTTGGTGACATTTACGACAAACAGATTTACCAGACAATGATTTCAAGCCGCCATCTTCTCTGGTTCCAATGTATTCATGGTAAAATCCATCAGGACAAGGTTCGTCAGCTTTAAGACATTTCTCAACAACATCTGGATTGTCAATAGAAACGATGGCTCGTTCACAGGAGTTACATCCTCCAAGTCCTGGACGATTTTCAGGCCCAGTACAACCAGAAATACAATTTTCATGACACGGTTTACATTCACCTGAATCATTGTACTTAGAGATTGGACATTTATTTACACAGTAAGGTCCATCTCTGACATTTCGACACTTGGAACAATTGTTGGCTCCTGGACCATAACATTCACCCAGACATTCCTCATGACAATGCTTACAGATATGATTACCAGCATCATAAAATCTATAAAAGGAAAGAGTAAAAAACGAAAATGATTAATATGAGAAGAGAGTATAAATAAATAGAAAGCTATCGACAAGTTGATGAAAGATGGTGATGAAGAAGCAATAAATTGACTGATAAGCGGCGCGTTAATCTAACTAAGGCACCTTTGTTTGTAAATGATTAAATTAAAGTAAACATTGGTATAGTTAAACATACCCAAGTGATGAGTTACATCCATTTATACAGGTATCTGTTAAACGATATGAGCGACATGATAAACATTCATCTGGACCTCGACCCCAGCAACCATCGGGACCACACTGCGGGTCACAAACCAATTTTTTATCAGCTGTGGGTGGAAAGAGAATTTAAAGGAAATTAGAGAAAGCCAGATCAACAGATAATCAACATATATTAGGTCAAAGCTTGTTAATGTGCTTTGGACATCTGTCAATTAATCGACAATGTAAATCTATTTTTTAAATGCTCTAGAATAATTTTCAGTCCATCTTGCCTCTATAAATTGAAAAATTCATAACTATCACAACTATATCTTCAGAATAGCGTCTTAAAACCAAAACGTTAATGATAATAACAGACCAAAACTGAACCACTTGACTTTTTTATGGAAAAGTCATCTCATAAAAACGTTGTCATGTTGGGCGTTCTAGAATCAAGTCCACAAAAAATTAATGCGAGTATGAGATGAAGATAGTAGAAAGTTGAGAAAATGACTTTTTCCCTTCTTTTTTTTTCTTCAACTCACAATGTTTTAAGAATAAGGACAAAAAGAAACCTGATTTTGTACGCCAACTCAATTGATCAATTTGAGCGTTTTAAAGTTGCCTCAACCGCAGAGAAAGAAAGAGAGAGAAATCTTAGCGTTAGAAATGAATACAGAAATGTACGTTAATAGCCAAAAATGGTATGATGATGAGATAGAAAGGAAAAAAAAGAGAAAAGAAAAGAGAGTGCAACAAAGATAGGTGTAGGTTCGAAAGAGACATTGTTATTGAAGTCGCTACATAAACAAACATAATTAGAAGTAATAGTTCCTGATTAGCGGGACAAAAAAGTCAATCAACAAAATTAATAAAGAAAAACAAAGACTAAACTCGGTTTGTTTGCGCTTCTTTTGAGGTTTTACGCCAAGTGACATGACAAAATAATACATAAGAGCGGTAACAAGATGGACAAACATTAAAATATGGGAAAAAATAGAGATGTAAAACAAAAAAATGGACTTACCGCAATTCAACTCGTTTCCGTTTCCTTCAAGAAATACTGACTGTTTACTCTGAAGTAAAATTTTCTTCCAATCAATACTATTAGCAAAACAGAGTTCTTTGTTTTCCAAAATGGCAACAGAACCGGAACGAATTTTCTTCAGTGATCTAAGATTCAGGGAAACCAATGATGTTTTGACAATATAAAGGGCAGCAAACATTTCAGTATTTTGTCTTCCACCAATAATTTCCAAATTTTTGAAATAAGATAGGTTGGTGAATGCTGGGTGAGATGCTTGAATGTTTATGTATCCTGTAACTTCTTTCAAAGTATTGAAGATATGAAGTTTATCGGGATGCAGGGGAGGTATGTTTTTCCCAAAGGTAAGATTAGTAAAAAATTCCTGGTATCCTTTGAATGATGTTTCCAGAATAGTTAGAGATCCTTCAATAACAGTGCAACCACGGAACTTTTCAATGTTACTGGCATGAATGATATCAACTCCTTCACAGGCTTTAGGACAGGGTCCATCACAGGGGACACATTCACCTGCTTGGCTTTTTTTGTTTGGTGGACAAGACCGGACACAAGCTCCATTGTCTTTGAGCAAGTGTTCTGGACAATCTTTAACACAGGTAGCTCCATAAGCATATTTACCTTCCGGGTTTGGTTCCCAGATGTAAAGTGATGGATTATATCTCATCATGAGGGGGCATTCTTGTTTACAAACACCATCATCATAAAAATTGCGGCAAGCAAGGCAATCACTTTGCGTTGGACCGGTGCAACCACCAGCACAGAATAGGTGACAACATTCTCGTGGAGCTGGTCCGAAACATCTGCCAGAATGGCACTGTGGTGAACAATTTATTTTACTAAATTTTTGACAATTCTCTATACCTTCACCCCAACAACCTCCAGAACACATAGAATGGCAAGGTGGACAAACACGTTCAGGATGAGTGAAATTATATGAATATACAGTATTCGCTTTGGGTCCGGTTAAAATTTCTTCCCAATTGATTGTTTTAATATGGCAAAGGTTGTAGTTATCAAAGAAACCAACATCACCAGCAAGAATATCTCGTAAAGCTGGTAACTCCAAGTTTTCCATTTTAGACAAAGTTACCAAAAGAGAAAACTTTTCACTACGGATATTCAGCTTGAAATGTGTTCTTCCTCGGATGATTTGTAAATTGGGTAAGGCAACACGTCTCACATGAACCTGACTGATCAACACGTAGCCTGTTACCTCACGGATATCTTTGAGAAAGCTTAGGTCCAGGTCTAGATCCTCAAGCCATGTTAATTCTAGGTTGCCGTCAACATACGTACAATTGGTGTATCTATCCCTAAGATTCTGGTAATGGTGTTCACGGTTAGAGGGAACGGACATTCGTCCATTTGTACCGATACAAATTTTGCCCTTCTTGACAGAAGAAGCATCATGTGAGGTGGAAAAAATAGAAGAAGATGATGACAAGCGAGATGCCGAAGAAAGTAATGATGATGATGGGTTAGATACAGATGAAGATGACAATTGAAAGGAGATAGATTCACATATTAACACAATTACAAAAATTAGAGGAATTAATAAACACCACTTGATATTCCAATAGTTTGTCATTTCAATTTGGACTTGATTGTAATTCCGTATCAACACAAAATAGTAAATCCATGGCTTTGAACGTAAAGTCTTTTAATCTCTTGTTATTGACTGCCAACACGCAACTGGCAACTTTAGCCTTAAACTTTGTTTAGGTAAAAAAGAAAAGTTGATAATAATTAGTAAAATTAACTAATGAGATGAACAAATTTGACTATATTTACACATTAGAATTGAAATTTATTGTTTCATTTGATTAAAAAAAGAGCAATAAAAAGAGTCACATCGACAATACATCTCTACTGTTTTACTTCGGATTTTTTGCTAGTTCGGCCAAGCTCCTTGACGCCATTCCAACAGAACCCACCTCTCTCTCTCTTTCTCTCCCTCCCTTTCAAAACAGGTATTACAAGACTCACTAACTTTTATCATCTCTGTCTATTTTCTCTTTCGGTTAACAATATTTTTTCTTTCTTTCCATTTCTTAGTTCATTTTCTTACTTTTCTTGTGAGAAGAAGAAAAAGAAGATTGAAGATGAAGAAGAAGAAGGGGAAAAAGAAAGCCTCTCTAACTTGTCATCTCTTTCTTCTCTCCGGGAGAAAGAGACAAAAAGAATGCTGAGAAAGAGAAACTTGAAAAAGAAAGAATCTCTCCCCTCTCTTCAAAACAGGTATTACAAGACTCACTCTATCTTCTCTGTCTATTTTCTGTTTCGCTTACATATTTCTTTCTTTCAATTTCTTAGTTCATTTTCTTACTTTTCTGGTGAGAAGAAGAAGAAGATGATAGACCCTTCTCTGAAAGCGAAACATATTAAAGAAGAAAAAAACTTTAAAAAAAATCTTACTTTCATCTTCTCTTTCTTTACCTTTTTTACCTTTTATTTCATCTTCTTAATGTTACCTTATGCAAAAGTTCAACCAAATAAAAACGCATCGAAAAGATCGTTTATTTTACTTTGAAATAAAATTTGAATGCTTCTTAGCGGGCTTTAAATTCATGGCAGTTAAAATTTAATCTTTATTCCAGGTAATTTGGTGAAAATTAGATTATCTGAAATGTTTTTTAAACACTGATTAAAAATAAATTTAAATTAGTGCGCTTATTAATTTAATATTTTGACAATAATAGCTTTTGTCTCTATAGTAACTGGACATCAAGTGAAATGCACTTTCGGCTTGTGTTAACTCATCAGCTGACTCGATAGTCTGCTTTTTGTCTTAGCTAGCAATTACTGTTTTAACTTTCAATTTAGTTTCTACTTTCATGTCAAAATTAATTTCACTCAATTAATGTTGTAACCAGGATAAGTTATAATCTGGTAAGTAATTTTGTTGTTATTATTGAGTTGATTAGAGTAATGAAAAGGAAAAAGAGCTCAACAAGTCACTTAGTAAACATATTTTGTGTGAAGTGTTGGTTGATGTGAATGTTGATGTTGACTACGATGATGATGTTGGTTGATGATGAGAATGATTAATAACATTTGATTATGTTTATTGTGCTAAGAGTATATACAGAAATGGCTCATTTCCTGTACAATTGTTGCTTGCTAAATCAATGAAAGTTATTAACTTTGGTTAAAGCATACAATGCTTCGAAAGCTAATCTTCATCTTGATCTTCATCATCATTGATTCATCAAATAATTACTCTAGACATGTCAGAAAAAATCTGAATCTTGTGAATTAAACAGTGTCATTCACTAAATAAATCATTTTTCATCAAATATTTTGCTAATTTTCAGTTTATGGGAACGAGATCGAGAGTTAATTAAATGTCTCGACAACTCAGGAAGTTGATTATTGATTGACTGTTAAAGTGTTAACAATGCATTCTTAAAGATTAAATTAACAAGTCACTTGTAAATGTGACTGTTTTTATTGCCTTTTCTCAATCTAATCAAACAATAAGTTTCAATATTAATGTGCAAATATAGTCAAATTGGTTCAGCTCATTAGTTAATTGTACTCATCTTTTCCTTTTCCAGTGCCGAGTTTAATGCTGCAGTTGACAATTGCATGTTGGATTCAACAACAACAAGTTAATTGACTTCATTTGATTACAATCAACCCATGGATTCTTCATTTTTGTATCGTTGCTGAATTACAATCAAGTCCTAATTGAAAGGATCAACAAACGAAATTAAACAAGAATGCAGAGAAAGAAGGAACACTTTCCATCATGAGAATATTTTGTAAACAAATTATCGTTTACCTATGAAATGGTGTTAAAACTGTGTTTATTTTGTTTCAATGTTCAAAGGCATTTTGTTGGTTTGGTGATTGATGGTTAACTGGGCATAATAGCTAAGCAAAAACAACATCAACAAATAATAATTACAATGATAATGAAAAACCGAAAAAACGATTAAAGAAATGTATTCACAGGAAACCTGAAGCTGCCCTGGACTGAAAGAGCAAAGGCCATAACCTTTGGTCAAAAAAATCGCAAACCAATGGAAGGAGAAGAAGAAGAAGAAAAAGATCTGTTAAATTTGAAAGTTTGCTGAAGAAAAGACGGAGCAACAAGATGAAGATTGAAAAATAACAGACAAATATAAGATTGACAAAGAAAACCAGATGAAAGTAGCCATAATATTTTCAAGGCAACTCGGGATTCGGACATTCGGACAAGTTTCATCAAGAAAAAAAAAGATTCACTTCTCTGTATTCCCCGTTCAATCAGGTCTTCTCCATCATCTTTGTTATCATCTACCATCGTCTTGATCATCTTTTCTTCTTTATCTCTGTCCTTTCTTTGTGTCAGTCTTGGTCCTACAAGGGACAAAAGTTTATACTTGGTTTTTTTGGGGACGCCTTAAAAATAAGAAAAGAAAGCCAAGGTTGGCAAAGGGCAAGGTAAAAAAAAGAAGAAGGTAAATGTTGGTTTCTAGAAGAAGGAGAAGAAAAGATGGTTTGAAAAGAAAAGACAACCAGGTAAACTGTGTTTTCGTTTTGGCCCAGGCCTTTTTCAAGAAGAGAAGGTCAATCATTTTAAAAGTACTTTTAGAGAGAAGACTTTTTCCCTTTCTTGCATCTCTTTCTTATGTCCTTAAATTTTGCTAGAAGCTGAAAAATAAGGTGAAGGTGCCCCTAGACCTTTTGGACTTGCATTTGGACAATCTCAATGTAAAGTCTTCTCCTTACCTCTTATTTTTCATCTTCTTCTTTCCCTTCACCTTATTCTGTTCTTTCTTCTTCGTCCTCTTCTCTTTCCTCTTTTATCTTCTTTACCTTAAAATATTTTTCTATATATTTACCTGTTTTTTTATATATTTTTATTTAGATAGTCAAGAGGTACAAAAAACGGAAACGAGACCAGCTTTAAATCAAAAAGATCGTTAATTATCTGTTAAGATTAAGATTCAAGAAGCTGATCATCATTATCATCAAGTTTATTAACAATACCATATTAACTAAATAAACTGCAATCATTTTTAAACGTAACACAAGTTTATCGTTATTGTTATGCATTAACCTAGACAATGGTAAAAAGTGGTGTTGCTTGGAGGCTGGTCTAACCATGAATTTAGGACATAAGAGAGGGAAAAAGGAAAAGAATCTAGTTTATATGGAAGAAGATGAGGATGATCAAACAGGGAAAGGAGCAAAAAAGATAAGAAGCTACTCAAGGAGCTGTGTTCTCAAGAAACTGTGTGAGACAAGTAACCTTAACCATATTTTCTTCATCTCTTTGGTTGCCTTTTTATCTTACCATCAACTCCGTCTAGACCCAAACTGCAACGATAACATCGATCCCTGAAAAAGATGACTTAAATATCTGTAAGGTCGCGGGTCAAACGACAAACCAGGGTCAAGCTTAAATCCAGAGACAAAAAATGTAACGACCAATGCTTGACCACTTTGACAACTTTCTCTAACCATAACTATTCAACAGAAAATCGAGCCTAAAATATTTCTTCTAAATTACTTTATGAACATTCAAAATAAGTTGGAGTGAAATTTAATTACTCCAATTTTCAGCCAACCAAGAAACTAACTGAAATTGTTTGCCCTTTTCTCAAAAATTTGTGCTAACCGATTTTGTTCAAAGTGCAAAGTGCTTATATTATAAATATTGATAATATTAACGCTTAATAGCATTATTAACGTTGAAAGGTTGCACTTGACCAAGATTCCATGCATTCAGCTAAATATGCTTTTTTATCAATCTCATCGAATTGTCTTGATTAGATTGATTAATGTTTGAATAATGCATCAGGAGGTGGGCAACTTTAAGGTCCATCAACATGTATTTATATCTTTTTATTTGGATTAGCATAATGATAGTCATTATCAGGATTAACCTAGAAAATGGATGCTTATTCTTGTCTTTTGAGGGGGAATAAAGAATGATAAATCAAAGGTAAAAGGATGAAATGGATGCAGTTGATGAAAAAGTATATGTCTTCCAGATATAATGCGGCAACAGTGATTTACAGAGCAAGATGAAATCGCTAAAAGGTAAAGAACTGCGCGTGATCATCTTCAGGTTCGAAGAATCAACGAAAAGAGTGAGAATCATGAGGATAAAGGGAGAGAGAGAGAGATGGATGACGATCATGATAATGATGAAGCAACAGTTAAAAGTCCGGTTGAAATAATATCAAGACGAAAAAGGTAGAGAAAAAATAACTCAAGTGCAAGTTTCAGTTCTGGTAAAAACTTGAAGGGATTGCTTCGTAGCCTTGAAAGTGACATAAAATCTTACATCTTGTGTTTTAATTGCCATCATCACATCTATTAATTTGAAAAAGGATAAGAAAGAAAGAGTTGAGAATAATAATTGCAAAAATATGTCAACAGTTAAAGGAGAAGGATCAGTTATTACTAACGGTAAAAGTAATGGTATTTCATGTGAAAAGTTGTGCTTTCCCAAAGAAACAGAGTCATCTGGTAGCTCCACTGACTTACCCACAGATATCACTGAAAATGGTACTAGAAAAGACGATAATTTGTTTGCTGATCAACCTGAAGCAACATCAGGACCAGCTAAATCAACCGTTAAACCAAGCTCAGTGTCACCAGCAGTTTCATCAATAGCAACTCCTAGTTTGAAAATGTCGCCTCGCCAATACAATCGTCTTTTACTTACCCAAACGTACGGTTCCTCCTACGAGGTTGATGAAGACTATGAAAAAGGAAGTGAGGAAGGCTTGGAACGAGTTAAAGAATTGACAGTCTTTTATAAGAATTTATTATCATCTGTTGGCGAAGACATTAACCGGCAAGGATTACTTAAGACACCAGAGAGGGCAGCTAAAGCAATGTGGTATTTCACAAAAGGCTATCGTCAAACCATCAAAGGTAAATGAGCGCCATTTTTAACCTTTAACATTTTGTTTTTATTTCACTGTTTCCGTTTAATCTCATTATCGGCCATTTTGTGTAAAAGGTGTTTATTCATATATTCACTGGTGCCCATTAATATATATATCCAATGTTTATTTTACCCTGAGGTTGAAAACCTGGTCAGTCAAAAAAGCAACAACAACAACCTGTTTCTTGAAAAAATGCTGTATATTTGTCTGTTTGTCATTGACATCTATTGTTCATTTTTTGGCCTTTTCTTTCTCCTTCATCACCATCATCATTTCTTGTCATCATTTTCATTTTCATCTGAGCTTCTTCACTTTTCCTTGGTTAGCTAAGCTTAATGTTAAACATAGCTGTTGCCCTAATTTGAACAAGGGCTTGGTCCAACAGCGATTCAGGTGACCATAAGTAAGCAAACCAGGCAAAAAAATGATCAACAACGGCTACAACCACCACCACCATCATCATCATCATCATCAAGCAACAGTGAAGAAGTGAAAATGTCTTAAGGGCATCAACAACAGTGTTAACGAAGGAAGAAGAGACTGAAAAAAGAGAAGGAAGACAGGTAAAGGTATATTGCTGTTAAGAAGGTTATAAGAGGAGGAATGGATATGTAAGAAAACAGGAACAAAAAAAGGTACAAAAGAAGGTAAAAATTGTTAATCATTACTTGATTATACAAATGTTTGTAACTGCGTCTAAAATGTCAACAAAAGGCAACAGTTGAACGCGAAACCAAAGATGTTGAAGATTGGGTAAACATTGGGAAGCTCTTGTTAGGCCTTATTTTGCATTCTATCATTTCTGGTTGCTATCAGGTTTTAAAACACATGAAGATGAGAGGAGAAGAGCAACAAGACTCGATAGAGAAAAGGTTTTTTTTTTGATTATTGAAAGCAGAAAGCAAAAATTTGAAAAAAGCGAAACTCAAAAAAAAAATGTTGAACTTGAATAAGGTAAAGATGAGTGGCAAGCTGAAAACAGGTTTTCCTAAGAACTCAAATTCCTATGTCTTGGCCATCATCTCCTTTCTTATCTTCTTATCATTCTAATTAAAGGAATGCAGTTATATTACCTTCTCAATCGATGGTCCTTACAGCCTAAAAGGGTCCACAATCAACCCCGATTCCTACCTCTTTACCCAAAATTATATAAGCAACGAAAAAAAACTGTTGAGCTACAATTTAAAACCATTATTCAACGTTTGCAGCAAAAAAACTAATTTGAATTTGAAATGTCTAGCCAATTGAAGCTTCTTTACATCATCTTGAAAAACGGATCAACACTTGAGTAAACTTCTTAATAAAGTGTTTCAAGAAAAGCTGGTTTCATGTCTTCTTGGTCGTCTTTATCATCTTCATCATCCTCCTCATCATCATTCGTCATCTTATTTCCTCTTGTTCATTGATTTGAACTTATTTCGCTTTACTTTTCTTTCCTTTCCTTTTATATCAACCTTAATATACAAAAAACATTTTCATGTCCTCTGGTTATATTAATTCACTCTACCATTTAATTTATTACAATTAATCATTGAATTTGCAATATGTTGTTACAATTATCTTTTAATATTTATCATCTTTCCTTTTACTATTGGGTTTGCCATCAATCGCAATTTCATTGTAAAGTTCCGGTGAATATAGATTTGATATAATTTCCGTTCCTTTAACTTACATCTTTTAGTATCTGATTAATCTATTAATTAACATTATACAATTAATGATAAAAGGAAATGTTCAAGGTTAGACAATTACAATATAATTGGTTGAAAAAGATACTCAATTGGTGTAATAATCGGTGATTTACAGCAACAATTAACAACATCGAAAGGTTACATCTTTAATCAAAATCAACTCATTGTCTTTACAATCAAAGGCAATGGGAATTTTCAACATGTAAACATTTATTGAAATGAAAACTAGTTTGAGATTGATTCATATTCATTGGGAATTATAATCATTGACTTTCATAACGTTAAGTGTAATTTAAACATGTTTAGCTGATGATTTTCTTGCTGAATTAATTGATCATCAAAGAAGTAGCAATTTAATTTAATCAACCTTTCTAAATATTGAAACATTATTGTATGGGAATTCAATTATTAATGTTTCTTTTCAGTAAAGCTTCCAATTTTTCATCTTTTTTTAGGTAAACTTGAAAATGTTGAGATGCTTTTAAGCTTTGATCATTGCTGTTGATCAGTCAAATTACAATGGTTAATAAGGAAAATTAAATCTAATTTTACTATTGATTAAGATTAAATGATCTGTAAAAATTTGACTGGTTTCAAGCATTTCAATGGAAATGTTAACATACAAGTGATTATACATCATCTTTTCAACTATCAATTAACTTGATCAATGACTTGAAAAGCAACTTTCAACATTAAACTGCATACTTAATCAATTGTTGGTCCATTCATCATCATTAAAATTAGCAGATCAGTTTATCTAATAACTGGATCAATTTATGAAAATTGAATTTATTCATAGTTGATGTGAAAATATTTTAAAATTTCAATATCAATTCAAGTTATTTTATGTAAAAAAAAGAAACCTTTACAATTGAAAATATACAATTTATGATAATAACAACGATAATAACAACAATAATGATATGATGTTAAAGAGGAGAAGAAAAGGAAATCAATAAAAGAAGTAATTTTATTCACAAATTCAAATGTTTATTGATAAAAAACTGCCAAATTGATGTATTGATCAACGATACAACAGGTTAAATCCAAAAAAGATGAACCCAAAAAGTTTATTCAAATCTGGCGCCCATTAAAAGTGATTGTCATTGTCAGTTTCACACACACACAGACCAAAAAGCAACAATCAAATTGACTTCATTTTTGTATTCAAAATAAGTGTAACAATTTACTTACGTCATTTTACTTTTATCATCATCATCACCTTAACCATCATCATCATAGCCATCGTCATAATCACAGAGTAATCATCATTATTATGGTGATCGTCTGTGTAAAAGTGAAAGTAAAGTGGCTTGATAAGTTCAGTTTCAAGACCCAATTTAGTTGAAAAGAAGCCCAAAATGATCTTTAATGACATTTCCTTGTGAAACATATTTTCATCATTATTATCTTCATTCTCATCATCATTTTCTGCTTCTCTTCTTCCTACAGTTTCCTTCCGTTTTTATGGTTAAACTGAATCTTTTTCTTATTCTTTCACTTTTTTTCTTCTTCTTCTCAACAAAATTCTTATTCTTCTCATTATAAACTCTCAAGTATCATAGCAACATTACCATTCTTTATCGGAAACAGTTGAGAGGAGAGGAAATCTGTTAAAATGATCTATCAGATTCATTAGTAATTCATCTCTGACAGAAACATCTACCTTCAGCTTTCATCTTCATCCTTTGATCTTTATTTGTGTCTATTCTATGGATGAATAACTTTCTTAGATAGGTTAATGGTGATGCTCCTGTCTAAGGTAGATGAAACTAGATTTCCCATTTTAACAATTGTTCAAATGTAATTAATCTTGGGCCTTTGATTTTTCCTTTATCAATACTTGCAATTGTTTAATCAACTCTTTTTTTCACCTTTTTCAGATGTTGTTCATAATGCCATTTTTGAAGAGGATCATGATGAAATGGTGATTGTCCGAGACATTGAAATGTTTTCACTCTGTGAACACCATTTAATCCCGTTTATCGGTAAAGTAAGTAATTGATCAACTTGTGATATATTAATCTTATTATCAGATAATCAAACAAAACGATATCTTATTATTTGTCTTTGATTTAATGAGACTTTATGCAGTTGCAGGCCATCGGATTGTTTTATCTTAAATAATCGGGTATTATATTGGATAACAAAGAATAATTTTCATGATTGATTTAATTTAGTTATTCATTGGGATAGAACAGGGAAAAAAGTTGACTTTATGAACAATTGATAATCGGGAATAAGTATGTATGAAAGTGAAAGATACATAATAATAATAACGTCATTATATTGGAGATTGAATGTTGAAAGTCCCAAAGATAATAGAAGTGAATTGAGCTGATGATAAAGATGAAAATAAAAGGTATCAAAGATGCTCTTTGGTATGTTTATGCTCCACTAATCATGATTACAATGAATATTTTCATCAACATTCAGCATCATCCTTCTCCTCCTCCTTCTCCTCCCTGTTGATCACCACCATTTTTACTCAAACCATTCATGAGAAACGAAACCAATGAGTGTTTTTATTCAATTATAACACAAACTATTATCTATATTTTTCTCTCCTTTCAATTTTGGCTTTAATCTTTCATTTGATTTCACTTTTTTTCATCATCGACATTCCCCTTTTCATCAACTTTAATTTATTTTTACACAGGTATCAATAGGTTATCTTCCTCGTAATAAGATACTTGGGCTGAGTAAAGTTGCTCGGATCGTTGAAATGTTTGCAAGAAGACTTCAAGGTAATGTTAGCAGCTAAACAAAGACCAAGAACTTTGATCAAAAAACTTGTTGATATCAGTATTAAATTTGATTCCTTTGATCCTCTTTTCCGTCTCCTTTGTCACCATCAAACAGTCCAAGAACGTTTAACCAAACAAATCGCAAAAGCCATTACTGATGCTATCAATCCTGCTGGTGTTGGTGTTGTAGTTGAGGCAACGTAAGTACAATTTAATGTACAATAATCAAAAGTGTAAACAACATATCTAAATGTCTATCCTGGTAAAAAATGATTAACCTTTCCGCAATATTTCAACAGGTTAAAACAATAGTGTTTACTTTTATCATGAGAAGATAAGTTGTCATCATTTTTTCCTTTTTTGAATCACCATCATCTTGAGAAGGAAGAAAGATGTGGATGAGAGATGAAACTAAATGAGTTGTTCTTCCGTTTTGTATTTTTTACATTTTATCCCTCTTTTGGCTTTACTTATTGCTCTTCATTTCCACTCTTTGTCTTGAAGAAACTTCCTTTAAGACAAAATGTTGTCCAACAAACTTGATAATTGCCTTCCTTTATTGTTCCACCGTTAATATCAAAATCACAGATCACTGATCACTGGTAATTAATAGTAAATGATAGGTAATTAATAGTGTGTCATCAAACATTTAGAGGATACAATTATAAAAAAAAGTGACCAACATGTTAACAATTTCAATTTAAATAAATAACCGTTGAGTAACGTTAAGGGGTCATATAATAATTTTTCATTTAATGCGCGCATTGTTTAAGCAATTAAATCTTAATCCAACGTAAATTTATTATTATTTCCAGCTAATTATCAGCAAAAGAGTTAATTGTTCATGTATTTGGTCTCTTGAGTTAAATCCAACAATTTGTAAACAATCTAAATTCTGGTTACTATCATGTGAAATGATTCAACCATTAAAAACATTGTTCAATAGATTTTTTTTTCATCTTCAATTCTGGACAATCTTTGACTATTGACATTTTTACTTCAATAATTTAACCTCTTTTTTTGTTCAACAATTCAATTTTTCTTCCGTTTTGATTCATTGAATCTTACAATTCCTGATTTCACCAACTATTACTTGATTTAAACCATTAAGTTACAAATTAGCATCAAATAATCAATTTAATTGACCATTACAGTGCAAGATAGCAAATAAAAAGATTGAAAATAAATTCAATTGTTACTCTGGAGCTTTGAATTATTACGATTATTGTTATTACTGAATTAATATTTATCATCATTACTATTACATATCATTAGGATGAATCCCTAACCAGCACTGATTTACATAATATTAAGGTTGAAAATATAATGAACTTGACCTTTAAAACCAATTGATTAGATAAATTATATCAATTTAATGTCCTTGCATGATTATAAATTATTATATCATCTACTATTTATAATATTAATTGTGAGAATAATATTTTTCATTTTTCAATATTCATACCAGTTTTGTATTTACATTTCCTAAAGCCTCTTATTGTTATTCACAATCACATTCAGTTATCAAAGATAATTCAGATCCGTTTGGGATAATAATTTAAAATGTTCAAATTGAATATTAACTCTATCATTGACCTTTCCTCAATCACAGTTAATTGCCATTTATTTTCATTAACCCGTGTTTGTTTGTTTTTTTCATATCAACAGTCATATGTGTATGGTAATGAGAGGAGTTCAAAAATTGAACAGTAAAACAATGACCAGTGCTATGCTCGGCGAGTTTCGTGATGATCCCAAAACCAGGGAAGAGTTTTTGACCCTGATTGGTACAAATTAGTAAATTGTGTTGACAAAACCTTTCACTTTGTTTGGATCCGTTTGGACAATTAATTCAAGGATTTATCTATCTGATGAGATCAAGTCTTTAACATATGGTAACCATTGCGTGATATTTGACCGATTCAACCCATTCTTTGATTGATACAGATTCTAATTTTAATTTTTTGTCTCTTTTCTCGACTGTTAACTTTTTTTAATTATTTAATGTATTTTTTTCTGTTCATTGTGACTACTTCACTATTAGTACATTAAATAAATATATTCATCATGTTAAACTTTGTGTGATTATTTCTATTAATTTAATTACGGCATAATCTTTCACCTCACCCAGTATTAATGGTCTAACTGTAAGTATTAATATATACGGCTTTTAAGTAACTATTTAAGTTTATTTATCTAGCTGTTTTCATCAGATTGATGTTCATACCAAGTGATAATAACAAATTTTACATACAATAGGCACTTATTCGCTGACAGTTAAATGATTCGGTAATTGTTGATTAACTGGGGACAAAAGGACTAAGCAAAAACCTGCTACAGTATAACGTGATGTAAATTCATAACTCAATGAAAGTGGGTTAATAAAAGCAACCTAATCCAATTCAAAACCAGTAACCTGTTGGCTGTATACAAAATGCATGTAAATCAACAATGTAACAATCAATGGCTTCGATTATGGTAATATTGGTAGCTTTTAAACGTACAAAGAGATACAGTTTGGTGTTGAAGTGAAGGAAAGCTGTTTATAAGTTGACCATAAAAAGGAACATATGATGTTATTTTTCTGACTTTTCTCACGCAAATTGAGCCAAAATGTTGTGAGAGCTGATGTTAATGAGGACAAGTGAATTTAAATGAGCATCCGCATCCAATGTTGAAACAAAAGGGAGAAAGGATAACAATAATCCAAGCTATATCGGCCTGAAAAAAATTGAATATCAACAGGAATATCAGTGACACTGGAATCTTGTTTACCTTGGTATACCAATGAGATTATTGAACTTGACTTTAATGTCATGAAAAACTTGTTGAGATTTTTGAAAGGCTTTATTGTACAAGAGGAAGATGTACAGCAAAAAGAGGATGATAAAGATGCTGCTGCTGGTGATGAGAAGATGGGAGGAAAAATATGTCCAGGATACTTCTTTTCTCGTTTCCACTTCTTCATTAGATGATCAACTCTCCATTGGCAAAGCTAAAACTTGATTGGGAGATTCCGATGAAATATGTTCTAATCCAGTCTTCTCTCCATTTAATCTATTTAAATACACATGAATCTGGATATTGACGATTCTAATCAATTAATTTAAAACCTTCAAATGATGGTTAAACCCGGCATCACCTGGTAACAAGGTGAAAGCGTCAATATCCAGGGTAACCTTAAAAAAAGTTAACACATACATTTATAGCCTAAAAAGTAGCAAGTTCAAGAGTCGTAGTTAAAATAGTCATTAAATAAATTAAAATTATTCAAAGCAATCTTATTTTTTCACCAATATTTACACAAAATCTATCAATTGTTAACTCTAAAGCAACTAAACCGTTTAAATAAATCATATAACATTAAACTTAAGGTAATTTTAAATACAGCAAACCTTAAAGATGAATATAATCTGTAAACACAAATTAAAGGTAAATGCAAATCTTTTTTTTTCTGGTAACTTGTAACACTTCATTTGACTTCATCTTCTTGGTGCTATTCAGTTGATGATCAACTGTACAACTATTAAGCCTAATATGCTTATGCTTATCAATTTGCAATTTAAAATGAAACTAAATGTAAATAAACCTTTCAACTTTTGGACACACATTTGTGTAACTAATCAGTAAAGTATACAATTACAATTGACTCTGAATCTCATTCAAACATGAATCTCTGTTTTTTTCACTCTTTCAGCTAATATAATTTTCTCATTACCAATCCTAATCATCTCAACGATTAACAAGGTTACCATGTCATGAACAGACTAAAGATGGATTCAAGAAACCTCAATGATTTGGTCAATATTTTGCTGTCAACTAAATGGTTAGGTTAACGACACTTCAATCAATGAAATACAGTTAAATTGCTTTTTAACAAGGTTAACCAAATGCTAAATAATTTCACACAATTTGTCTTAAATATTGAAATCTAAAGCATCAATTAAACAAATTCAGCTTCCTCAATTTCAATTGTAATCAAGGTTAGATTAACATAACAAATTGTCAATCAGAGCAAACCTTGATCAGTTCGTGAAATGATCTGCAAATCAACAATAATTGAAGGTAAACAATTCAAGGTTAGCTGAATTGATGATCATTATAATCACAATCTGTCAGAGTAAGGTCAATGGAAATTTTGGCCAAAAATTTAAGTAAAATTAGTCGATTCCATCGATCTATTATCATCTAATGAATGCTTTAAAATCAGATCAATTTGAATTGCGAGAAAGAAACAGCAATGGGAAGTTGATTTCCCATCATTTAATTATCTCTCATTGGAAAGTTTCAAATGATTCACATTCTACCATCGTTTACCACGTAATGATAATTATAATTAACATATTATCAATCAACATACACTTGGAATTGCCCTTAAAAGTAAACATTGTAATTGCATGTTAAATAGCCAGAATCAAATTGGTTAAAACCTAACCAATGGTAATGAAAATATGAAAATTTACATTGAAAAAATTCTAGGCAAGTTAAATTGTTTCATATCATGTTCATTAAATATTATAAAATAATCAAGTTCTGGTTAAATTGAAAAAATTTACCTCAGTAATTAGATGTACAATTTGAAGGCTATCAAGGGAAATCCAAAATTTATATTCAACTTGGATCAATCCAATGTTTTGTTTTGTTTTTTCATTAAACAAGTTTGATATTGCGGACAATTTCAGTGCAATATTGCCATAGAAATGGCGAGAAAATATTCATCTTTGAAATATCCAAGATATATCATGATTATAACTGAAGGTTTTATAAAACAGCTGAAATTTTATCCAATTTTATCAGCTTTTAAACGTGTTTTGCAATAAATCCTGAATAGTCTGGTTTTGTTGAGTTCATTATTGAAATGGAAAGCTTCAGAGAATCAAATTACGTAGAAACTTGTATAAATCATTAGATGTTCAAGATTGACTTACCTGTGTGATTAGCTAATTGATTGACACTTATCGTGAATCTTGGAATGTGTGGAAATCAAAAGCGATTTTTTCTGAACATTCAAGTTCTAAACATTTTCATTTGCGATTTGAAGCAGCAAAAATATTGAAACAGTTAATATCCATTAGTGATTCAGTCACTTGTTTTTCAATGCAAACAAAAGGGGAAACTTTTCGTACATGTTATTTACAAAATAATTAGCTTTAGATGGAAACAGAATCAATATTTGGATCCGTGTGAAACAGGTTTAAGCTATAAATGAATAATTAGTAATTGATAAAATCATTTGGCGTAAAAACACTCGTTCAAATATTAATTCTGTCATGGATCTGTGTACATTTTTGCCAAACAAAGCCTTTGTCTTGATGTTTCTAGGCTTTGGACTTGTTCAATTTCGATTAGAATACAATGTTTAATGATAAATGAAAATATCTAAAACTAAATATTTATGAATCACAAATATAGCTCAGCTTTGAAACTGATGCTAAACATTCAGAACTTTGACTTAGCCAATTGATCGAGCGATCAGTTAATATGCAGATTGGATAAGCTTGAAAAATTGTTAAGCAAATAATTAACAATCAAATTTAAATCGATTTCGAAACTATTATATTTAAACGCGACAACTCATCATTTTAGATGCCATTTCAGTGCACCGAAAATGAATTGACATTTTAGTCAATAGATTGCTGGTTAATTGAAGAGATCGGTTGTGCATTAATTAGAAAATTTAATAAAATTGTAAAAGACAAGAGCAGAAGACAGACATTCCATTAAAAAGTCGATGTGCCAAGAGATTCGCCAGCAAATGACAAAAACACCATTCCATTAATTAGCATATTGATGAGCGTTATGATCAACCAGATTGTGGAGCTTCCTCATCAAAAGAGTTGAGTCTGTAAAGAAAGAGTTAAACATAACCAAAATTATTGACAAGTTAACACAAGTAAAAGAAAGCGGCACTAAAACACTTTGACTTTGGGGTTATAAGTTAGGAAGGTAAGTTTCTAGATGCAGGTAAAAACTGAATCCATAAGCACTATAAAAAAAATTCTCCAAGCGACAGTTTTCGTGAAAATCGAGGTCGAAGTTGAAACTTCGATCGGCTTTTATTCAATGACGTGACCAGATTTTTTCATGAAACTAAATTCACTGATGTAACTTTTCATGGGCAACATAAAAATGTATTTATTTTGAAAAAAAAATCTTTTAGTTTTTGAACAATTAGATAAGTTCGATTTGCAGTTAAACCTTCCTAGTTGAGCGACCGTAGAGATTAAGAAGCTGAAACTTTGTTGCATTAGATAAAAGTTGCTAATAAACATTGCTGTCCGAACACTTTTTTCAATTTATCCACAGCTCACTAGATTTTGGACATTTACCTAAAAGATTTGAGCCTGAATATTTCGATATTGGTAGCACCTAAAAGCGTTATTTTTTCTCCACAAATTAGATCTCATTATGGACTATGGTGCAATGAAGTTTCATATTATTAAACAAATTGCAAGAAGAGTCATAGCATTGTTTTACTTATGTTACCAGATTTGGTTCTTGGTTTATAAAAGTAAATGTTAAACTCAAACAAAGCTAATGATGCGTTAGAATAATGTTCATTATTCAACTAATTATCTCAATATAAGCTTAATTAAGTGTTTTAACTTCATGGTTTCTAGATGCTAGGTGAAAACTAAGTCCATTAGTGGTGTTAAAAAATTCATTCGATCAACAATTTTCGAGAAAATTGAGATCAAATTTGAAACTTCGATCCTTTTTTATTAAAGAATGGAACAAGATTTTTTCATGAAACTGAAATCAATGATGTAACTTTCAATGGCCAATGTGAAAATGTACTTATTTTGCTAAATAAAGTTTTAGTTTTTCGAACAAATAGATAAGTTCGATTTTAAGTTAAACGTGATTAATTCTGTGACCGAAAAAGTTAGGAAGCTGAAACTAATTCTTCCTAGCTTAAAATTGTTGGTACACATTGCAGCATGAAAACATGTTTCAATTCATTGATAGTTCTCTATCTTTTGGCCATTTACCTAAAAAATATCAGCCTCGATATTTCGATTTCGGTAGTACCTACAAAACTTATTTTTTAACCAAACATTAGATTTTAATATAGTTTATTGTATAATAAAAACTTCACATTGTTCAAGAAACTGCAAGAAGAGTTATAACATTGTGTTTCTTTTGTTACCAGATTTTGTTTCTTGGTTTATAAAAGTGTATGGTAAACTCAAACAAAGCTTATGATGCATAAGAATAATGTTCATTATTTAATGAATTAGCTCAGAGTCAGCTTAGTCAAGCGTTAAAAAGCGTTGTGGCTTTGTAGGGAAATGAAAACCAAGCCTTTCAGCGTTAGTAATAAATTCCTCCGGTCAACAGTTTTCGAGAAAATCGAGATCGAAGTTGAAACTTCGATCGCCTTAAAACCAACATTGTAACTAGATTTTACAATGAAACTCATTCCACTGATGTAACATTTGATGGCCAATCTGAAAATTCACTTATTTTGATACAATAAGTTTTGTAATTGCTCTAAAACAGATCAATTCGATTTTCAGTTAAACCGCCAGAATTCTGAGATTTTGAGAGTAAATCAGGTGAAACTTTTTATTCATAGATGAAAATAGTTTGTGAATCTTAGCGATACAACAATTTTTCGAATTTAGCAATAGTTCTCTGGATTTTGGACTTTTACCCAAAAATTTTGAACTTCGCTATTCCGTGAACGAAAGAACTTAAAATAATTATGCTTTGGTTAAACAGCAGATGCTATTATGGACTATGATACAGTAAAGTTTCAGATTATTCAAGAAACTACAAAAAGAGTTATAACATTGTGTTTCTTTTGTTACCAGATTTGGTTCTTGGTTTATAAAAGTAAATGTTAAACTCAAACAAAGCTTATGATGCGTTAGAATGATGTTTATTATTTAATGAATTAGCTCGGAATCAGCTTAGTTAGAAGTTTAAACTTAGAGGTTTCTACATTCTAGGTAAAAACTAAGTCCATTAGTGGTGTTACAAAGCATTCTTGATCAACAAGTTTCGAGAAAATCGAAATCAAATTTGAAACTTCGACGCCCTTTCATTAAAGAATGGAACAAGATCTTTTCATAAAACTGATTTCGGTTATTTAACTTTCAATGGCCAATATGAAAATGTACTTATCTAGCGAAATAAAGTTTTAGTTTTTCGAACAAACAGATAAGTTCGATTTTGACCTAATCCTTTTGAATTCTGTGACCGAAAAAGTTAGGAAGCTGAAACTTTTTTATCGTACATAAAAATTGTTGATGCACATTTCAGCTTGAAAACTTTTTTCAATTTATCGTTAGTTCTCTGACTTTTGTCCATTTATCTAAAAAATACCAGCCTCAATATTTCGATTCCGGTAGCACCTACAAACATTATTTTTTAACCAAACAATAGATTTTTGTATAGTCTATGGTATAATGAAACTTCAGATTATTCAAAAAACCAAAGCAGCATTTATAGCAGCACCAAACTAGCATTTTATTACTTATGTTACCAGATTTGGTTATTGATTTGTAAAAGTGCATTGTAGACTCAAACAAATCTAATGAACGAACTGTCAATAAATTGAAAAATGTGTTCAATCACTAATGCACACCAACTATTTTTATGCATGAATAAGTTTGTGATCTTTAACTCACAGGATGAGGAAGGTTCAAGTAAAATAAAACCTATCCATTTGTTAATAGAACAGTAATAACTCTTTACTGGTGAATATGGCTTGACTTTTGTGTAAAAACGCAAAGTTTTCAACGAACTTTTATCTGATGTACATCGAGTAGTTTCAGATATAAATCGAAATGTGTTTAGCGACAAAATCTAATAGTTAAATGACACTTACCCGCAGCATTGGCTTTTGGTGAAACAACATAGAACATTACGTCCCGAGTAAGTGCTGTAGTCATCACAAGTATCACAAGCTGTTGTGTTACCCACGAGAACAAAAAAAGCCTCACTTGATGGAGTTGAAGCGATCAGTAAAAAGGAAACAATGATCCCGATGAAACTGTACAAGATTAATTTATTCATGATTGGAGTTGAACAAGTAATAAGGACAGAGTAATAATGAAACAAGCAAAAAAGATCAAGCAGTTGGTGAACAAATCAGTTGATTTGGGACACTTTTGATGGTTTATGTAGACAATAATGAAAGTAAAAGGTGATTCGGATGTTTCTTATTCTCAATTTGGATACAAATTGCATTAATGCTGAGAGGAAGATATTAAAAAGTTAATGATGTTGTTGAAGAATCTGAAGGGGAGGAAAGATTCTTGTTGTTATTTATGTTGGTTATTACGTTGCAAGGAAAAATCGTCAAAAATGATTCAAAAATAGAGTCAATCTTGTTTTACCTGAAGCTTTCAGATCAAAAATAATAAGATGAAACTTGAAACATGTTTCCTCTTTTCCGCCCTAAATATTTCAATATTGATAGCACCTACAAGCATTAGTTTTTAACCAAACATTAGATTTTATTGTGGACAACTATGTAATGCAATTGCACATTATAAAAGAAACTACAAAAAGAGTTATAACATTGTATTACTTATGTTACCAGATTTGAGTTCTTGCTTTGTAAGAGCAACTAATAGTAAGCTCAAACAAATCTTGAATTGCGTTAGAAGTATACATTGGTTAATGAATTAGCGAAGAATAGGCTTAGTTAAGCGTTTGAAAGCATTGTGGGATTATAGTGTCATGAAAACTATGTCTAATAGTGCTAGTAGAAAGTTCCTCCGAACGACGATTTTCGAGAAAATTAAGATCAAAGTTGAAACTTCGATTGACTTTTATTCAATAACGCTAGCAGATTTTTTCACGAAACTAAAGCCATTAATGTAACTTTCAATAGGCAACCTAAAAATACATTTATTTTGTGAAATAAAGTTTTCTGTTTTTGCACAATTAGATAAGTTCGATTTGCAGTTAAACTTTTCTAATTCTGCGATCATAGAGGTTAAGAAGCTGAAACTTGTTTTTCTGTGGATAGAAATTGTGGGTGTACATCAGTGATTGTACACTTTTTTGAATTTATCAACAGTTCTCTTGTTTTTTCGAACTTTACCCAAAACTTTGAACTTCGATATTTCGAGAATGGTAGCATCTACAAACATTATTTTTTAACCAAACAATAGATGTTATTATGGAATATAATACAGTGAAGTTTCATATTATTCAAGAAACTGCAAGAAGAGCTATAACATTGTATTACTTTTGTTACCAGATTTTGTTCTTGGTTTATAAAAGTAAATGGTTAACTCAAACAAAGCTTATGATGCGTTAGAATAATGTTCATTATTTAATGAATTAGCTCAGAGTCAGCTTAGTCAAGCGTTGAAAAGCGTTGTGGTTTTGTAGGGAAATGAAAACCAAGCCTTTCAGCGTTAGTAATAAATTCCTCCGATCAATAGTTTTCGAGAAAATCGAGGTCGAAGTTGGAACTTCGATCGCCTTAAAACCAACATTGTAACTAGATTTTACGATGACACTCATTCCACTGATGTAACATTTGATGGCCAATCTGAAAATTCACTTATTTTGATACAATAAGTTTTGTAATTGCTCTAAAACAGATCAATTCGATTTTCAGTTAAACCGCCAGAATTCTGAGATTTTGAGAGTAAATCAGGTGAAACTTTTTATTCATAGATGAAAATAGTTTGTGAATCTTAGCGATACAACAATTTTTCGAATTTAGCAATAGTTCTCTGGATTTTGGACTTTTACCCAAAAATTTTGAACTTCGCTATTCCGTGAACGAAAGAACTTAAAATAATTATTTTTTGGTTAAACATTAGATGCTATTATGGACTATGATACAGTGAAGTTTCAGATTATTCAAGAAACTACAAAAAGAGTTATAACATTGTGTTTCTTTTGTTACCAGATTTTTTCTTGGTTTATACAAGTAAAAGTAAATAGTAAACTCAAACAAAGCTTATGGTGCGTTAGAATGTTTATTAAATAATGAATTAGCTCAGAATCAGCTTAGTTAGAAACTTACATGCATCAAAGTCCATAATAAAATCTAAATTTTGGCGCAAGAATGACGATTCTAGAGGTTACCATTCGCGAAATATTGAGGTTCTTATTTTTCAGGTAAATGTCCGAAATCGAAAGAGTTTTCAGTTAATTGAAAGAAGTTTTCATGCTGCAATGTATATCAATGAGGTAGTTTTCAATGGCCAATATGAAAATGTACTTGTTTCGCGCAATAAAGTTTTAATTTTTCAAAAAGATAGATAAGTTCGATTTCAAGTTAAACCTTATTAATTTTATGACCAAAAAAGTTGAGAAGCTGAAACTGGCTCTTCCCTAGCTAAAAATCGTTGATACACATTGCAGCATGAAAACTTCTTTCAATTAACTGAAAACTCTTTCGATTTCGGACATTTACCTGAAAAATAAGAACCTCAATATTTCGCGAATGGTAACCTCTAGAATCGTCATTCTTGCGCCAAAATTTAGATTTTATTATGGACTTTGATGCATGTAAGTTTCTAACTAAGCTGATTCTGAGCTAATTCAT